CCCCCCCCCCCCCCCCGTGTGTCTTGCCCCAATACCCCCATTTGTGTTTGTTTCGATCAAGAATGAGGAAACCTAGATTTTCTCCTCCATTTTTGTAGGTTAGCATAAACGCTTATTAACTTTTGTAAGTTTCCTACGTGCAGATTTCTGGGAAATTTCCTGCCTGAGCAAGGCAAACCAGCAATCTGGGAGTTGCATGCAGATTCTCGCCCTAATGGGCGAAATGGAGAGATGAGTGAAGGTGAAGATGAGAGGTACGTTTCTGTCGCCGCAAAACTTGACTTCAGATATTCCCATGTCAGCTTATAGAATATTCTGGTGTTAGCTCTCTGTCTTTAGAACTTGAAGTTTATCCTTCACCAAGGTTTTCAAATTTCCATTTTGGCATGCTTTTAGTTTCCGACAATCAAGTATTCTGTAACATCTGATAATATATTAAGCCTTGTTATTGCCCCTGCTGCCATAGCTCTAAAATAAAAATGTTTCATATCTTTAGGCATAATCTCTACTCTAAAACGTCTTTCTCTACCATGACTTTAGTGTTTCTTCTGTAAAATTATTTAAACGGTAAATGCATTCTTAGTTAGGGCTGTTTCTACGAAGTACAAATTTTTTTTGTGGCGTGAAGATGCATGGTTTCTTTATCAAGGCAAATGGTGTCATGGGAAACTTGGTGTTTTTTATTAGTCCAAAATTTCGGTTCGTCGGAAAGTTTATTGTCTGGTAGAATTGATTTCGCAATCTCCAATTTAAACTTTACTGTCTTTTTATTTATGAACTTTTCTTGTTTGGTGTTCTCCCTTTCTCAAGAAAACAAAAATTCATAGTTGGTGTCTTTCAGTAGTTTAAATCTATCAGCTTACCTCTTAGTTTTATGTTCTTAGGTTTCTTGTGAAGAGATGCTTATCAGATGGTAATATCCACAATGAAAGTTGGACGCCTATGTCAGCCATGAGTAGTAAGCATGAAAGCATTTCGCATAAAGTTTTTTCTGAGACATCACGTGGAGTATCCCATATTCTTTCGGAGTCATCACCTGATATACCAGCTTCTGGAGATGTAGCATTATCAAGGTTTGTCGATATCCCTTTATTTCTTATGTTTGATGCAATGCATGAGCAATTGTCTCTCTTTTTTTTCTGCTACAATGTTCTCTAGGTGCAATGTAACTTTAGTGTTGAGTCAGGAACTACTGGCTAATTGACTAAGAACAATTCATTCAATGCGCATTCCATTTAGTGTTACTTTTTTCTGGACACATCCCAATTGTTATTGTCAATGCTAGTGAAATCATGAGTTGGTTATATATCACTACAGCATGAAAGGGTTAAGCAAGCTAATACTCTAAACATTCGTTTCTTTTATGGGTATTAATATGTAGGTGTACACCTTCAATGCCTAGTAGGCAGCTCTTCGGAGAAGTGCAAAAGGTTCAACATGTTGGTTGTGATCGCAGTTACTTATCGGATCAGGAGGACATGTGTAGTGTCTCGAACTTTGTTGATATCGAATGGCTTTCATCCTCTGAAAATCTGTGTGAGAACGAACTGTTTGACAGGTACATTGTCGTGCTTTAATGACTGATTTTATATTTTCAGTCTTCGGTGGATCTAGCTGTGGTGTGTCGGATGGTTTTGTCTTTTTATTTCTTGTCATGGCCATGCATAGGCTTCAATGGCTCAATCTCATCTTATTGAAAATTTTGAAACATACAACATATATTATAGCATTTCTCGTGGAGAAAAAAAATAAAAGTACCATATTTGTTGTGTCTTTCAGCAGGCCTCTGGGACTTGCAGGATATTCAACTGCTGAGATGTCTTCGTCGTCAGAGAACATCCTCAATGGAGGGGTCGGACAATCAACGCCACCTACTTGTGAATGCGGACCAAGCAGCAGGAAGGTCAGTATCCCCTCCCCTATTTCTCCTTGGTGTTTCTCCCAAAGTTTTGTACACTTGGCGGCATAAATCAGTAGAGATATCTTAGTAGGGTCCATAAACATCGATGGTTTAATTTGTGAATATATATAACAATGCCGTTGGTATGTTACGCTCTTCTCTCATTATGAAACATAGAACTGCTATAATAATGAAACTAGTCCTGAACAATTTTACAAACATGAAATCGTTTACCTTTGGATTATTACACATAACCTTCTGTTAGAGTCGACTGAATGCTCCAAATTGCTTATTCTTTCGAGGAATTGTCTCTGCTAACTAGATCAGAAACGACTTCTTTTTCTATTCAATAGGGCAAGGAACCTGTCGGAACCGACCTGTCTGTCCACGCGAAGATTCGCGAGGATTTCCCGGATAGCTTTAAGCAATGGGTAGCATATGGTGAAGCACTCTGCCACTGAAGCACACACGCTCTTATCTTCCTCCTTCTCCCACGAAACACACGTACTTCCTCGCCATCTTCACTACTTAGAAGCAAATGCTGAAGTCGACGAAACATCACGTTACAAAACATAGAAAGAAGTTTACCAGGTAAGAGATTCGTGTACCTCGTTAAGCTGTAACGGTAATGACCCGCGTCTTTTTACGTGTCGAAACATCATTAGGAAACAGAGATTGCAGAGGTATAAGAGTAGTTGTGAATATAGCCTAAGAGAGGTTGAGGTGGAGAAAAGGCAAAAAAAAACAAAAATCAATTTCTGGAGAGAGATAGAGAGAGGGGTCTTCTAAATTGTTGTATTAGAAAGAGGGTGTAAATATGTTCGTGCTGTTTCCTTCCCCCACTTTGTAGGGTTTAGTATGATCCATCAAATTCTTTGTGTTTCTTTCTTACTAGAAAAATATATGCGTCTGTCTGTAACTTTAGACCCTTTTGATTCCTGTGAGATTGACATGGGAATTATACAAACAGTTGCATTCGTTTTCAGAGTTTTTTTTTTTTTTTTTTTTTTTTGAATAGCAGTTGAAAATTAGGTTTTGGTTTCCAAAGACAAATGGATCTAAGTTAGCTTTGTGTCTTTTTTTTTTTTTTTTTTTTTTTTTTTTTTTTTTTTTTTTTTTTTTGTGGATGGACCGACACATTTACTAGCTTTTGGCATGAGAAGATTAGCTGCTGACAATACACAGGTGAATGATTCACAGTGAGAAACAAACTCATCTCACCTGATCTCATAAACTCGAAACTCCAAATACAAAAAAAAAAAAAAGTCTATAAATGCAACAGATTCGAAATGAAGTTCCAACCCATCCCCGTCTTCTTATCCAAGGGACTGGCGAAATTCAGCTCGAACATCTCTTTCCTCACCACGTTCTCGCCCGCATCACAGAAACCGACGAGCTTTGCCACGACTTGGGCGCTCTCCTTCACGTGCTCCATGTCATGAGGGTTTGTCCAAAGCTTGTTGATGAATTGATTTCGCCTCTGCTTTCCTACCGGAGGCACTTCCCATTTCATGTACAGCGCCTCCCTTTCCTCTGCTGTTAGCTTTGAGTTCACCCTCTTCGCCAAATACTCCCTCTCTTGCTTCAGAGCTCTTACACTGCTCCATTGAATAGTTATTAGATCCACGCAATAGTTGTGATTTTTGTGTGTGTGCGCGCGCGTATTTGTTGTGATTTCTTAATAGAGTTGCCTTGTATGCAATCATCTATTTAATTGTTGTGTATACACACAACAGTGGCACGCTTACCGTGACATTCGAAGCTGAATGGGCACAATCTAATATCGTTTGGGGCTTTATTGACTATGTTTAATGGATTCAGGCTCTAATCAACTATCAGGGAAGGGAAGATAGAAAAAGGAGTTACCTTGATGCTACATAACTTGCAGGCTCGTCGCTAAGCAGAGCAGGACTGGCGTTGCCAAGCTCAGCCAAGTGCTGTTCCAACCATGTCAGCCTACGAAGCTCGACATCCATGTAAATTTGATCGGTTTCTTCTCCTTTGAATAACAGATAGAACTGTGTCCTGTGGATGATGGAGATGTGACATAGATGCCATAACATGATGATTTGTTTTCTCTGTTCTTCAAAACATAATGGCCAAGGCACTTGGGATTCTTCCATTGCATCAGACTCGAGAGCTGCAGTAGCCTCGTTTGCCTCCAATTCTAACACCTAACAAAACATAGTTTCATGCTCTTGAGAACCTGAATAAGAAACATGACAGTAAGATGATAGGGAAATGGTGGGTGGTCATAAGTTTGAGTTCACCTGGCAAACAAGGAGCTGCTTCTGATATTGAAGCTTTGCAACCCTCTCTTTCAGTCCAGTAACATATGCTTTGATGTTACGGATATTCTCTTCAGCAGCATTCTTGAACATACGCTTCATTTTCTTAACATCAACCGAATTTGCTTGCCGTGCAATGGGAGTCCCTTCCCTTGATGGAGTGCGACTTTGACTGTCATCTCTCTTTGGTGGCGTAGATCTAAACACTATAGGTGCTGAATTAGCAGAGACATCACTGCTCTCAGGAGCCTTATTCTCGGTATCATATCCTGTTGTCCTCCGAGAAGATGAAAGGGGTGAACACGGTGCCCGAATTATATGTTGTATGTTTGGACTGTTACTTAAGCCGAAAGGAAGAACTTTCTTCTTTTTCATCTGGGTCCCAAACTCTGGGGTCTGTTCATCAGTCTGAAACGAGGAGACAAGCATGTCGATAGACTTCTGAACACTTTCAAGCTTCTTTTCCAGAGATGCAATTTCTTGAGAGTTCAACCGGGATATCTCTTCCTTCAAGTTGGCCTTGTCACCAACTACGATTTCATCTGACACAAGGCTAATCTTTTGCATGTCACGAATTTCTGACAGCATTTTAGCAATTTTCTCTGCTGCTTGCTGATCACCCATTCTGTGAGACGTCACTTCCTTGTGAATTAGCTCAAGTGCTTGGCTTGCTTCCTCCCCCAACTTCCTTTGATGCTTTTCAAGAAGACGAATTTCCTGGACAAGCGTTACTGGATCTGTTGAAGTTATTGACTGCCTCAAATTTTGCTTTCTTTCATCAAGGTTCATTCTGCGAATGGTCCGTACAGATTTGCTAGAGACATTTTCTTGCTGAGTTGGGAAGGTCAGACATCTTGCTACTTGAGAATAAGGCTCATGCTCATTTGAACTCTGAAAGCAAATTAAGCAATGAAATCAGCATGTTTGCATTAAGAGGCAGCTGAGGCCGAAACAAATTTGTTATGGCTTATTAGCACATGTACCTTCGGCTCTTTTGCTTTTCTTTCTAGATCAAGTTGAGATTGAACAAGGTCTCTTTGACGTTTTAATTCTCTCATCTCCATCTCCATCTGTTATTATTTGACATCAAAAAGAAGGAGCGAATAACCATGTCCATAAATTTCACCTTCCAAATATCTGTATTGGGTGACTAAAAAATTAGTGGATAAAACAAGCTGAGCACCATATTTATTCAGCACATAATTCTGTACCTGCTGGATTTTCATCTCTTTTTCTAGTAACAGAGACTTTAAGCAGGAAGAGGAACTCGGTTCTGGGCTTCTTAACTCTGATTCAAGTTTTGCCACTTTTTGCTGCAAGTGTTTTAACAGTGTTTTGTCCGAGACAACCTGAAAGATCATATGAAATAAAATCACTCAACTAGAACTAAATATCTGACGAATTATTTATAAAATTACAAGCAAAAACATTTCTATATGGTTCATATCAGTGATGTATTCTAAAAATTTGAAGTACAAGGAACACCGAAGAATGCATTGGCATCTAGAATTGCACCATCATATCCTATGGTATATGTCAACTATAAAATGATTAATACTAATCAAGAACAAAACCGTATGCTGTGTTGGAGGCCAAATAAATAATTATAGGAAGCCAGAGGCAGCTCTATTGCTTAAATGAAATCCAGAGCCCTGTTCGTAATATGACCAACATATTTAGACTGTGAATCCTACTTAAAAGACCTATATAGCCAAAGACTGAAGACTCGGAATTATTTACAACAAAATTAACTACATCTTTTCATAACTGACGTACCATGTTTACTTTAGTGCGGTTTGTGACTTCTTTTGCGCTCGTGGCAAATGAGAATGTCTTTTTGGTCTGCTCAACATGACTCAAAGCTGGACTGACAGTGCAGATAATTGCAGTCCTTGCATTCCCACCAAGTGAATTTTGCAGGATTCTCGTGAGCTTTGAGTCTCTGTATGGCACATGGTCGCTTCTTCTCCCAGAACTACAATCAACATAAAAACAAAGAAGAAACTGTCCTTAAAATGTAAAAGGAAATAAGAATACGACATAGATGCTGACCCGGATTAACACATCATAATCATAAGCCACCAAATCTCAGCTCTTAAGCTACATCTATATATTGCAGTTTTGAACTGTGCCCTGTGCATAAGCAAGAGAACTTGACACCAATAAGCATGGTTTTCTAGTCATCGATGGTTTCTCACCTCAGTTTTCTGATGACTGTCGTTAGTGTCAATAAGCTACGATTTATATGGCTTCCTTCCTTTAATCTGATACCAGCTGCGTTTGTTTGAGTAGCACGTTCACTTCCAGCAAGGTCAACAAGGTTCTGCACCATTGTGGAAATTGTCTTAACTAACAGAGAAACGCTGTAACAATGATAGAAGTAGTGGTTGTACCAGAGTTGCCAAGAAAGACTTCACACGGCCTTCTTTTTCCCTGAGACTGCTCTCAATGGTCTGGATATCAAAAGATGAGACAATAACAAGAACTTTAAACCATTAAATTCTACGGCTTGAAATGTAGCCAGATTATGCCAAGCTTATTTTTACCCCATTTAATAACAGGCAAATCTTACCAGCCTAATAATCTGATGTGATCTTGAACTTTTATCGTTTAAAGCTGTTTCTCCAACCTGTCTATGAGCTGTAAAGGCATATGTTAAATCACATCACATTATATCTTAAGCATGCTATCAAAATAGTTCTAGGCATTACTGTGTTTCCTTGTTGCTAAGCCATGGAGCTTAGCCAAAACCTCTACAAACTGCATACGCATAGAAAGATGTTCAAAGAATAATTAGAAAGCTACCTTCACAGATGCTGATTAAATGCTTTAAGTGTTGCCCGTTCTCTATGACTTCTTCAACAAGATTTTCTACCATGGTTCCTTTCTGCATGGCAGATAAAGTTAGTACATGTATGTTTCAACATTCAACTTATTTTTGCTGACCCTTCACATACCTCCGGATCATCTAACAGTCGTAGGGGTCCGGTATCGTTATTTAAAAGGTCAATCACAGTCTCATTGTAGATCTCTAAAGCAGATAATTTCAAGACAAAACTCCTTTCCTCAGTCTGCATAGATTGAAAAGTCCATTTGAGTATCGATCACTTATTGGATAACACATTGCTTCATAGTAAGACTAAGGAGAAAAGAAACAGGGAAGTTACGAAAGATGCTCACTTTTCTTATGTGTTCATACATGTCTTTAACAACGTTTTCAGTGATGCCTTTCATTGTAAATGTCTTGCCACTGCTGGTCTGACCATAAGCAAATATAGTTGCTGCAACAAATATAGACAAGCACTCACATTGCTAAGGAATGGGGAAACTTGCTCAATATGAAAAAGTACAGATAGATCAATAGCTTCTATAAAAGTGCTAAATTACCATTAGTTCCTGTCAAAGCAGACAGTGCGACGTCCCTAGCCCCACCTTCATAAACCTTCAAGGTTGAGCAGGTTGGCTCGAAAACTTTGTCTTTACATTGATAGAAGAAGGGAAAAAAGAAGCAGTTAGAATCTTATCAACGGCATTTCATAGCATTTAAGTAGCTCCTGGAACAAATTACACTATAAAAATTGTACCAAACGAGTATCTTGCTGCTGGGCGCTCAGGATTTGGATTCTTGTAGAGAATGGTCTGATCATCTGGGCATTCCCACGCAATAAGATCATATTTGGAAAGTTCCCTCCCATTTAATGGTCTCATCCGAACAGTAACAAGTATCTTCTCCTCTTTAACTCTAGACCCGCCAGGAGTGGAGGAAATGCCTCTGTCTATCTTATTTAACGGCGTTTTCGGGGTTCCCATCATTTCTATACAAAATACGAACCTAAAACAAAAAACTCGTCAGCATAAATGGTGTAAAACGACCATATATCTGTAGAATCTGTATTTTCCAACTTAAAGAAGACAGAACATTTATGCGCAGCTCAATTTCAAAGCAATGGCCAGCTCTTTTCTTTCTCTTTTACTTCGAACCAACTGAATCGATCTTCAGAGCACCCATGAGACAAGCACAAAACGGAATCTGTGTTGATACCCATCTTAGCACATACAAAAGTATATACAAATCATACTGATCCAACAAACACCTGCAATAAGATCCAGAAAAGGAAAGAAGAAGAAAAAGAAGTAACAATCGAGAATACAACTCACTTACAGCGAAGTACGGGTGAGAGAGAGAGAAAAGCAAGATCGGAGTTCGCCGGAGACGGATGCCGGAAAAAGCAACAACGCTGGTGTCGGGAAAATCGCCGGAGAATCTGGAACCGCAACAGAATCGGTGCGAAGATCGAGATGCTGGTGATGATTGGGGACTTTCGCAGAAGCCCAAAAAATCAGATCAGAGAGAGTTGTAACGTATAAACACTCTTCTCTTCTTCCTTGTTTGTTTGTTTTCTTCTTCTTCTTCTTCTTCTTTCTTTTTCTTTTTCTTTCTTTTTTTTTAAATTTCCGTTTAATGCGCACACCTGAAAATTTTGAACTGAACGGTCGACGATCATTCCGCGCTCCGTTACGTGCCACGTGTACGATTCAAATGCCACCTCGGAGGGAGCGGCACTGGCTTACAAAACGACGTCGCTTTCATCTGCGTACTGAAACGACGCCGTAAAACGCATACGGAACGAAACGATGGTTTAATATTTTCTCAATATATAATACAGGCCTAATGACCCAATAATTGTACGGGCCCATATTTCCAATAAGGGGTCCATTTATATTTTATAATAACGTCTTTATAAAATCCATATTTGTTTTATACGGGCCCATATTAATTAATTTATATGAATATTTTGAGTGGGCTAAAATATTGGCTAATAAAAAAATAAAAAATTTTAAGATGATATTTATATTTGAAAATATATTTGAAGTTCTTTTAAAAACATATTGGAAAGTGTTGAACGGTACTTGTAATTTACGTTAAAAAACAGTCATCAAATTTAGATTGTGAATATGACAGTAACATATAGATGACGATAATGATTTCATCATGATATTTTTTTATAATGTGATATTTAGAATAAGGAAAATGAAATCATATATATATATATATATATATTAGACAGATGATTTTTAATTGCTTTAATCAGACAAACATCGGACAATCACGTGGAAAAACCCGTTCGAATAAACGAAAAGGGAATCATTAGAGGTCCGCGACGCTTTGAGTGCAAGAGAAGCCAAAACGCAACATTTCTTCTGTTTGTTTATAATTTTATTTGAGTCTATGAGAATTCTTTATTTATAGATTGACCCACAAAACAATCAAAAATCAAATGTAGGTACCCACCGGATTTCCTCATCCAATTATATTTCTTGCTATAATGCGCCGCTTCTTCTGTAAGGTCCAATACCCACCACCATTCTTCGTCACTATTTTTTATTTTAAAATTTAAAAATGAGTCGTCCTATAATTTCCTTTGAGATTTTCAAAAAACAATTAAAAATGCGATCTCCGAAATAATTTGCAGCTATCTATGAAAACAGTTTTATTATAATCGCTGCATGAAACCCTTGCAATAATTTTATGGAACAATAGTGATTAATGATCATTTCAACAAAAAAAATATAAACATTGCAAAAATATAAATAAAGTAAAGTAATTTTCTTTTTGCCATTATTATGATTATTTGTTTAAAGAATAGTTGCTGAAATTATTGGAAACATTATATATAGGTGGAATGGAAAATTATTTTTTTAAAAGTGTATAATTATATGCAAATTCATATTCACGTAATTCATAAAAATTTTATATAATAAAACAATATCCACATGATGTAACAGAACCTACATGGACCTTCTACTCTATATGTTATGGTTAGTTAATGAAAATGACGGGAAATTAGATATTTATAAGTTTTTGCTTTTTGTTTAAGGTGTCCCGAATTATGAAAAATAGACGGAATTTATTATTCCAATAATTAGGCACACCTAAAAATTTCATGTACCATTGTTTGTGCCAAACGCACATGAACATATTATATGATTTCGAAAAAAGGACGAAACAATTGTACTTTTTGAATCAGACTTATATATATATATATATATATATATATATGATCTTAATGGTTTTATCAAATTTTATGACGTTTTGCATTAACAGAAACATATATGAGGAAAACAATGTAAATATAAAATTCTACGTTTAAATGAAATGAATTAATAATATGGAAATTAGTGTAATTCTCGATATTTTTGTTTAATTTTTTCAAAAAATAATGGTTAGTGAGTATTAGACATTTTCCAGCTAACTTAAGGCCCACACAACAAAACTTTCATCTCCACGAGAAACTTTATCCGATCCCTTTCAAGATCCACTTTTCACTGTATATATATTCACAAATAAATATTTTATTTTCTTAGAAATGATTATATATAAATTTAATAAAATATTAAATAAAAAATAGACGGGAACAATACATATATATTTGTAATAAAAATTTAAGTTATAAATGAAAATTCGGAAGTTCGGAAATTGAAAAGGAAAATAAGGAAGGATTACATTCGTCTTTATTTTCTTGTAGGGTGGATTAATATGATTATGATTTCAATTAGACGCATCAATCATGCAAGATATTCTTCGCATGATGATCATTCTTGTAATAAAAAAATATATTTTTAAAAATTTTTTGAATTGCCAAATTAAGAATTTTATTTTTTTGCATTTTTTATTTGCTATCAGTTTAGATGTTGATTAGCTTATTTATTCTTGTAAAATCTGTGGTGATTTGAATAAGATCCATGTTTTATTCAGTTGGATCCATTTCAAATACAACGATATTTTATTATTTATTAAGAAGTGCTTTTCCAAAATCCACACGAAATTTCACCTCGAAAACCTCCATTAAAATATTAATAAAATAAATAAAGACCATCAAATACCGGGAACGTCAAAACCACACACAGTATTCTCTAACAGTGGACTATCAAAGTGGAAAATTACATTTACGTACGACATAAATGACATTAATTAAATGCATTAATAATTAATCACATATTTGTTTATTTGTTCGCATGATGTCGGCTGACATCAAAGGTTAGATTAAAATGAATAATTTAGATTAGTGGACAAATTTGCAAATTTGGAATGGATATAAAATTTGTTTTTGATTTTTTGAAAATGCGATGTTGTTTATGGATTTCAGTAATAAATATATCTTATTTGTGGGCTTGGATTTGACGGTTGGATATCTTTTTAACATTATTGTGAATAAATAAACTCATTATAAAATATTTTTTATTTATATTATTTATAATTTTCTAATAAATTTCATCGAATTTTATTCTAAATGAAAAACAAACTTTTAATGTAGAAAAATAATCAAAATTCGAATATCAAAATATCTGAATATGTTTTGGTTAAATATTAATAATTTTCAGTAATCATTTCTAGGTTTTTTAATTTAAAAATTTTATATTTTTTGTTACAATTTTTATTTGGTTTGGTTCGAGGTTTCGTGAAAATTCGTCTTTCCTATCTTTTATCTTACAAATAAATAATTACACATCTGTTTATTTTATTACATAATGTCGGAGGACATGGGTTGCAACTCTCTGGTCTTGTTGTCCTATAACTTTTTGACACGTGGCATTAATTATCAGAAAGACTCATTCTCCATCCACTAATGTATCGCCACGTGGTATATCACATTGGCTGACGAGAGGTGCCACGTGGATGTAGATAACTGGACAAAGTCAATACAAGGTCTACGCCAACTTTTTTTAGACACGTCAATAACTACAAACCGTTGGCGGTTTTATTAATAAGTGGTTTTGGGTTTATCGTGGTTTGTGAAGAATGGCAAATATAAGAGTTGACATGGAATGATGATTTTATATATATACTATATACAAAAAAAACATATTTTTAATAATAGAGGATATATTAAGTTCATATTATAGAAAGAGGAATCTAAAACCATTATAACACTTCAAACTTGGTTTTATTTTAAATTAAACTAATTTTTTACCTTAAAAATAATCATTTAAAAATGTGTTAATTACAGTGAAACAGAGTAAATGGTGTGCGCTGCATTCAAAATACCAACAAATACATGTATTTTTCAGTGGATTAAGGCCATAATTGACCAAATAGCTGATTTAAAAATGTGATTTCTAAGCAACATGATTAAAATGCAAAATCAAATAATAATTTATATTAATTAAAAAAAAGCAAGTTGAGGAAAGCAAAATCCGAGCTGCTGCAATACACGAAGAGAGAGCCCCTATAAAAAGGCCCCTCAAGCTCTTCACATTCTCCACATTCATCGTCTTCCTCATCGTCGTATCCCCATTCTGCGTTTATTTCTCGTTCTCTGCATTTTATTTTATTTTCGTAATTCGACATTTTTCTTGTTCGTCGTTTATCTTCTTTGCCCTCGGAATTGCGTCTGAAAACAGGTAAAAAAATTTCTATTTTACTATATTTTTTTTGTTAGTTTCTTTACAATGTATATAATCTCGTCTTTTAGATTTTATTATTTTTTAGTTCTGCATTTTTTGAAAAAAATAATAATAATCCGATCACTCAATTTTTTTTATATGATAAATAGTGTAGATATCGATATATGTATACCTAAGTGGTTTATTTTTTATAGTTTTATTCTAAATCAATGAATACACGTCAAATCTTTAAAATAATGCAAAAGATCTAAGAAATATTCGAGTATATTCCTAATAAAATATATTTTACCGGTTAAACACACAAAAAAAAAACAGTCGAATTAATAATTACTTGAGGGGAAAATGTGATTATGAATATCAATTTCTCTTATTTCTTTCCAAAAACAAATCTTACCTCATGAAAATTATTTTAATTCGTACTCCCGGCTTCTTGATCTCCACGGCATTTTAAGAGTTCCCATAAATACATTAATACTAATATAATATATTAATATATCAATGCAAAAAAAAAAGTTTTTTTAAATATAAATTTCATAAGGGTTGAATATGGCATTAATATTATTTTTTATAAAAAAAAAGGTCAACGTAGTTCTTCTAGAACTTTGCCATTTTCCTAAAATGCCCTCGGCCTTGAAGCTCTCTGAATATTCAATTCCTCTGTTTCTGGGTTTGGAGCCCAAGCAAGCAGGACAGACGAAATATCACATTATAAGGAAAAAAAATTAAATAAATAAATTTTCTTCCATTTTCTATTTTATTTTTAAAAAATATTGCATAGAAGAAAGTTTCATTCTCTATATAAATCTGAAAGTCTAACCAAAAAAATTCAACATCCTTTGAAAAATCCTTCTTGCATTCTCTTCACCACACAGGTTAAAGATGAAATCTTTTTTTTTTCTTACATAATGTTATCTTTGGGTTGTCTAATTTTCTTACATAATATTTTTCTTGTTTTTTTTTTTCTAAAACAGCTTTTTGTCGTTTTCTGTTCTTTTTTTTGTTGGATAATTCGTTGGTGAGGAAAAAAAAAACAAAGCTAAGAACTTTCAGTTATTCTATTTTTATACTTTTGGAGGCATTTTTATTGATGGAGAATTTCGAAACTTTATGCCAAGAAACCGTATCACGTATACTACCATTGCCAAAAAAAAAAAAAAGGGGGAAATAAAGGGTTTGTATTTATTTCTTTAAATTCTTGAGTTTTTTAATTATATAATTTTTTTTTTCTGGGGACATGATTGATGCGTTTGAAGATTTTGCAATCTGGAAGCCACTAGAGATTTGTGCTCTTTGACTATTTTTTTTTTAAGAGAACATTCATATTTTTGCTTGCTAAATAGTAAATTCTATCTCTTTATTACAAAATTTGTTTTGCTTTCTTCCATTAAAAACAAAAAATATATATTGATATTTTATGGTTGGTGCATTGCTAAAGACACTAATGATTTAAATCGCGTAATTTGATTCCTTGCAAATGATATATATATTAGATTGTTGGTGTTTTCAGTCCAGGAATTTAGAAATAGATAATTTTTAAAATATTAATGGATAATGTCGTGTTTAAGAGTATATGAATTTGATACCCCCATTTCGAATCAACGGTCAAGAATTTCAATTCAATATCGCCTTTTTCTTTGTATCAAGCTTTGAACTTTCTTGAAACTTTGGTTGTGATGTCGATTCATCTTCATTATATATATATATATATTGTGTGAAGAGTTCAGCACAAACATTCATCCGTCTTTCTCCTTTTTTTATTTTGGGTCTCGCCTCTGTTCTTGAATATCGTCTTCTTGTTCTTGTTCTTGATTCTTGATTCTCTGCAGCTGCAAGCAAAGCTTTTTCGCTGTTCTCTGGTCTGTCATCAATGGCGGAGCGTGTGATCACTCGCGTCCACAGCCAGCGTGAGCGCTTGGACGGCACTCTTTCTGCTCAGAGAAACGAAGTCCTTTCCTTGCTCTCAAGGTAAATATATATATATATATATATATATATATATGTATATGTATATATGTAATGTCTGTAATGGTTATCAATTGTATGTATATATGTGTTTGTGATATTGCCTGGGATGTTGCTTAAAACTGGGTTTAGGGTTTTAACAATCTCGAGTTCTGCTCTGTTCTTGACATGCAATGGCAATGTTTTTTTTTTCAAATGTTGTCTGAACAAGAAGCTAAGTTGGATCGAATGCTGTTTTTAGGGTTGAAGCCAAGGGGAAGGGAATTCTGCAACACCACCAGATCATTGCTGAGTTCGAGGCTTTGCCCGAAGAAACCCGGAAGAAGCTCGAAGGAAGCGCCTTCTTCGAAATTCTTAGATCCTCTCAGGTATCAGAAAAAACCTCTCGGATTCGTCGAAATTCCGCGTAAAATCTTCATCGATGATCGATTTTTGATGTTTTTCGGGTAAATTGGACAGGAAGCAATTGTGTTGCCGCCATGGGTTGCTCTTGCAATCAGGCCACGACCTGGCGTCTGGGAATACATAAGAGTGAATCTCCATGCCCTTGTCGTCGAGGAGCTTCTTGTTTCAGAGTATCTTCACCTCAAGGAAGAGCTCGTCAATGGAAGGTACCGTCGAGATCGATCTTTCTGAAACTTTCAGAAAATGTTGTCTGAATCCTTAAACTCCAACAATGGCGACTTGTCTTGGGTTTTTTCTGCAGTGTCAATGGCAGTTTCCCGCTCGAGCTCGACTTCGAGCCGTTCAACGCGTCTTTCCCTCGGCCGACCCTCTCCAAGTACATCGGAGATGGAGTCGAGTTCCTTAACCGACACCTCTCTGCAAAACTCTTCCATGACAAGGAAAGCTTGCACCCGTTACTCCAATTCCTCCGAGTCCATTGCCGTAAGGGCAAGGTAACCGAATCTTGATCCGATTACCGTTTATCCGACACGTCGGATCCGATCTTTCTAGTTTCAAGATTCAATCTCTGCCCGAACGCTGACATGTTCTTGTTCTTGATTGTGTCAGAACCTGATGCTTAACGACAGAATCCAAAACCTCAAGACTCTGCAACACGTTTTGAGGAAAGCCGAGGAGTATCTGACGAATCTCGCGCCAGAAACGTTGTACTCGGATTTCGAGCACAAGTTTCAGGAGATCGGATTGGAGAGAGGATGGGGAGACACAGCGGAACGTGTTCTTGAAATGATCCGTCTTCTTCTGGATCTTCTCGAAGCTCCTGATCCTTGCACTCTGGAGAATTTTCTCGGGAAAATCCCTATGGTTTTCAACGTTGTGATCCTCACTCCGCATGGGTATTTCGCTCAGGACAACGTTTTGGGTTATCCCGACACCGGTGGTCAGGTCAGTTTTCGGGCATTCTTCCCATATTTTCATCACGACCGCCGCCATTGCAGAGTTCTTGTGCTTTCTCTGTTTTTCTGAGTTTTTTTTTTGTTTGATCGGATCTGTCTGTGTAGGTTGTGTACATTTTGGATCAAGTTCGTGCTTTGGAAACCGAGATGCTGCAACGTATCAAACAGCAGGGACTGAACATTACCCCGAAAATCCTCATTGTAAGTCTTAAGTTTGCACTTCCCGATGCGGGGGTTAAGGGTATGCGGTCTTGGCCTCGCGACAGTCAGGTGCCCGTGGGGTGCAGATCAATGGATTCTTGAGGTTTTACAACTGTCTAAAAATGTGTTTTTCCTGCGGTGCAGATCACTCGGCTACTTCCCGATGCGGTCGGAACGACGTGTGGTCAGCGTATCGAGAAGGTTTACGGGACGGAATACTCCGACATTCTCCGTGTTCCATTCAGAACAGAGAAGGGTATAGTTCGCCAATGGATCTCAAGATTCGAAGTCTGGCCTTATCTCGAGACTTACACTGAGGTAATACACTATCTCCCTGCTTTCTGAAAACGTGTTCTTCATTTCATCATCTGATCTCTGAATCTGAATTCATCATTTTCAGGATGTTGCCCTCGAGATCTCGAAAGAGTTGCAGGGGAAGCCTGATCTTATCATCGGTAACTACAGCGATGGAAACCTTGTTGCTTCATTGCTGGCTCACAAGCTTGGTGTCACTCAGGTTCGGCTTCTAATTAGATTATCCAGAGCTGAATTTTCATGATGTATCCGATCTGATTTGGTTTCGGTTATCGGGTTTTTCTGAGGTTTTTCCTGATTTTGAATGTTCTTGCGTTACAGTGTACCATTGCTCATGCCCTCGAGAAGACGAAATACCCGGATTCAGATATCTACTGGAAGAATCTCGACGAAAAGTACCATTTCTCGTGCCAGTTCACGGCCGATCTTTACGCCATGAACCACACTGATTTCATCATCACCAGTACTTTCCAAGAAATCGCTGGAAGGTACGAAAATCTGCTGATTCTTTTCGTGTTTCTCGAGATCTATAATCTGATGAATCTCTTGTTTCTTTCCTCAGCAAGGACACCGTTGGTCAGTACGAGAGTCACACTGCTTTCACCCTTCCCGGGCTTTACCGTGTGGTTCACGGTATCAACGTGTTCGATCCGAAGTTCAACATTGTATCCCCTGGTGCTGATATGAGCATTTACTTCCCTTACACTGAGGAGAAGCGAAGGTTGACCTCGTTCCACCCGGAAATCGAAGAGCTTCTTTACAGTGATGTCGAGAACGAGGAGCACTTGTAAGATTCCGACATGTTATCTGGTTGTATCGATGCCCCGAATCTGGAGGAAACAAGATCAAAGAAAGATCTCTAATGTTTTTTTGTTATTGAACTGTCTGTTGAAACAGGTGTGTCCTGAAGGACAAGAAGAAGCCAATCCTCTTCACGATGGCGAGGCTTGACCGTGTCAAGAACTTGTCTGGACTCGTCGAGTGGTACGGGAAGAACGCTCGCCTTCGGGAACTGGTCAACTTGGTTGTGGTTGGAGGGGATAGGAGAAAGGAGTCAAAGGACAACGAAGAGAAGGCCGAGATGAAGAAAATGTACGATCTCATCGAGAAATACGGATTGAATGGTCAGTTCAGGTGGATCTCCTCTCAGATGAACCGTATCAGAAACGGTGAGCTTTACCGTTACATCTGTGACACAAAGGGAGCTTTCGTGCAACCCGCACTGTACGAGGCTTTCGGGCTGACAGTTGTTGAGGCCATGACCTGTGGGCTCCCGACTTTCGCCACTTGCAATGGAGGTCCTGCCGAGATCATTGTCCATGGGAAATCGGGTTTCCACATCGATCCATACCATGGTGACCAAGCTGCCGAGATTCTTGCAGATTTCTTTGCCAAGTGCAAGGAGGATCCTTCTCACTGGGACGAGATCTCTCATGGAGGGCTTCAGAGGATCGAGGAGAAGTACGTAAAACTCAAAACACGGGTCTCGGATTTTGATTTAGTCGGTAAAGTTCTCGACTTTGACCTGTTTATTGTGTTCTTAGGTACACCTGGCAAATCTATTCACAGAGGCTTCTGACACTTACTGGAGTCTATGGCTTCTGGAAACATGTTTCCAACCTCGACCGCCTCGAAAGCCGCCGTTACCTCGAGATGTTCTATGCTCTGAAGTATCGCCCGCTGGTATGGCATTTCGTCATCGGATTCAGACCGAGATCTTTACCGCTTTTGTCCGTTCGGGTTATAAAACATGTATTTCTCCTCTGATGCAACCTTTGCTTTCTATATGCGTTCCTTTGCAGGCTAAGGCTGTTCCTCTTGCACAAGAGGAGTGAAAGAGGGGACCAAACCCGCCACACCGAGAAGAGGTTTCCTTGATGTTGAACAATAAAAAAGATTTGTGTCATTTTTCATGATGTGAACGAGTCATTGTAGAGGGCTTATCATGCATATGCCCTCAAGCTCCTTGTTGTTTTTCTGCTCTTTGCTCTTGTTTTGTGGCGTCTCTTATGTTCCTTCCTCCGGCTTTTGCTTGGACTCTCTGGCTATTTGAGGGCTTTTCTCTTGCATTTTTCAGTAAAGTTTGAGATTTCTACTTTCTTCAAGTTTCCAACTTTTGCTCTGCACAAGTCTCAAAACTAGCATTTACCTATAGCATACACATATACATACATGCATGTATGTGTGTGTATGTATGTATGTATGTATGTCCAAGATCATTCTTGTGAAAATTGTTACTTCTTAGACAGATAATCATGTAAACCATAAACACATATTACTTGCTCCCACTGCGAGTGTAACATAACCTTTTCATTTGATTCCTTATATTATATTTCATTATTACCATTACTTTAACAATTTCTGTAAAGTCCCTTGAGAGACGAAAGAAATACCATCTTATGTATGTGTAAAGTTTTTTTTTTTTGGTAAACATCTTTATATATACATGCATACATACATACATACAAAATTTTACATTTCTTGCTTGCAAAATAGAGCATCTCTATGTCGTGTTTATATAACGCAACTCTTTCTCGATCGATCTTCCCTCTTCCCATTACCAACAGAGCCTCTTTCCCAATCTCAAGAACGAACAAAAACGGATTTTTTTCTCTGTCAGCTTCGTCTAATTCAACTTCAACAGGACCACTTGCTGCGACTCCAGAATTTTCTGGTTCATGAAATCTGTTATTACTTTTGTCATTCTGCTCTAAGTCTCTTCCAGACTGCAGGATAAAGTTGGAAACGGTGGTACTATCTCTGAGTGTCTCCATTTTAGGATCTACTCGATAACCATTTATTGTTTTTCTTCGGGGAATCTCCAAGACCTTATTAGCATTAAGAGTGTCAATGCCAAAACAAATCCGAGACCGACTACTCCGCTGAATGGCTGTAACGGGCAAATCCCCGCGACCCATATCGGGAAACTGGGAACGTACGTAAGGAACCGACCTGTCTGTAATATAAAGCTTGAAGCAATAATCCCTGTTCGGAACCCTATTGGAACTGCCAGACTACCTTGGCTACTTTTACGAGCCCCGGCCAAAGCCAACGACAACAGCCATAAACCCGGGATTGCTCTCAAAGATCTGAAATCACAGAGGAAAAAAGAGAAAAGATACTTTGTCAGAATCGAACTTTCAAAATGTCAATCTCAAAAAGTTTGGATGCAGTGTTTTGAAATGGATAAGATAAAACGTTATTGTCAGGGCTGAAAAAAAAAACCCGAATTTCGTAACTGAGTACTATAAGAGACGAGATCGGGTTATAACGTGATAAAAACCCAAAAATCAGGTTCGGGTGATTAGGTTCAAGATCAGGTAGTAATGCGAGTATCCAGATGAATAACAAACCTATTGAAATCTCTTGAAATTTCAGGTTTGAATTCGATTACTCCAAAAGAACATAGAGATGGATGAGCATACCTCTGGAACAAGGCAAACACGAATCCAGATATGATGATGCTTTGATGATAGCCGAGTTCGGTGGCAATCTCTTCAGGGAGCCAAGATCTGAATAGCAATTCCTCCACGAGCACGACACATGTTGCTGCGGTGAATCCCCTGACAATCAGCATTAGCAACTGTCCATATCCTTTAAGCCATTTCAGGGCATCAAATGACAAGGGAAGGTGCGGAGGCCATGAGAAAACTGCAGCTCCTATCATTGCATTTACGGATTGTATTAACAGAACGAATACGACGCCCCCTACCAAGCTCTTCAAAAATTCCTGAATCTGCATATGTAAAGACTTGACATATCAATTTCTTTTTGTTTAATGGCATAACTCAATGGACGGGGTACAGAGGAATATAAATTAAAGGGTAAGGACAGACCAAAATTTTAACCTGATCTTTTAAAGCATCAACACAAATGCAGACTCGATAACCCCTTATTCAGTATATGCTTTCATATTTGGAGAATTTTCATTGAAGAAATATCTGCCACTGCCACAAATATGGTTTTCCTTTTATCTAATTAGCGAGGAAACCTAAGAGGTACATGACTCTGATAACCTAGCAGGCATGACCCTAATTAAGATAGTAGTCACTGTCGCCTACATAAGGAAATGCTTATGGTCAAAGGCCTACAGCGAGTGGTATGTATAAATTAACATGATTTAAGTTTGATCATACATTAGAGTTCGTACCTTTTTGTTGGGGGAAGAACTGAAATCAAGCCCATATTGCTGGAGAGGGTTTTCATATTCTCGAACTCTCTTTCCCCACAGCATAACTAGTATGAAAACAGCCACATAGAGGCCGATTATGCTAGCCAGTTCTGCTGTTTTGGAGGGATTACTTGTGGACCAGCTCTGGACGAGTGTTGGAAGCAATGGAACGACAACCGGTGACCACAAAACACATACCATCCCCATAAAGCCAACAACCCTAATAAACAGAAAAGCGATAATCATCACTGAATGCTATTATGTAAATGACATAGCTTATGATGTGAATCTTAAGCACACGTAATCTTTGTCACTGTGATGCCATTAAACAATTTAGCATATCACGAAAGAAAGAAAAAAGTCTCTTGAATATTGACATTAGCATATCAGTGAAATGATCGATGATCACAATCATTGACATTAGCATACTACGAAATTAGTGTAACAGGTCATGTGTTTCCAAGTACTTATTTAAGGATATTAGCTTAGCACACTTCTTGTCCTTGGGCGAGCTAAGCAAATATGAAAAGACGATTGGTCTGAATTTTTGTTTTCCCAAGGAAGAGAAGGGAGAATCGTGAGTTCGGTGAGTTGTAAAAACAATGGACTTAGATGCTTGGACTGGACGAAACTTACCTCTTCGGCAAGGGCAACTCAGCCACATGCAGAAACGAGATTAGCCTATCAGTTAGACTCATAGCACCACGGATCCCACCCCAAAGCAAAGCAAATTTCCCAACTAACTTTAGTATTCCGCCCTTCTGCCCCAAATCTGCCAACATTGCAACGAGTCTGTTCAAATGAAAATTGAAGAGATGTCAGAATGGCAGAACTGCCGTCCATATGATGATGCAAGAAGAAAAGTAACATTCACCCCCTTTTTAAGTACCTTTCTTGATCCACTTCACCATCTTCTTTGGTTGGTACCACAGGACCAGCAATGGACATGGCTTTCTCGGCAAAATTCGCCACCATGTTGCTCTGCTCAGATTCTTTCTGTTGACTTCCTTTCTCCGTCAATGATTTTGACATTATACCACCGTTTTGACCACCTTTCAGTGGATCCTGTATAATATGTGCTACTTGTATTAAAGATGGACAGGGTGTTTATATAATAATTTTTCATTTTTTAATCATCATATGAAAACTTATCTTAGAGAAATACCTGTTGCTGAACCAGTAGAGCAGATGCCCCGAGAGCAGCTGTTACAGCACCAACCATGACTTGATCGTTATTAATATTTTGCAGTCCTGATTCCATCCCCTTTTTCTTGGAGCCATTCAATTTGCTCTTCTTGTTCATGTTGTTATTCAGACCACTCTTCTGTTCATCTTTTTTCCTGAATTTGTTCACCTTTCTAGTCACAGCTTCTCTTTTAGCATCATCACACACGGTTGATACATCAAAATATTTCCTCAGAGCAGCTAAGATAGAGCCAACAACAACACCAACTGGCAAAACTTGCCTAAGAAAGCGGGTCTCCTGAACAGTTAAAGAAATGGCTCTAATGATAGTCTCCCCATGAAGTTCACATATCTTTTCAGTAGGGACGTTGGCCTTGTTTATATTTTTGAAATTCAAAGAGTGCTCAGCATCTGCAACAGCAAGAGAAACAGCATCTGCCACTTTGTCTATATCTTGATTGAGTTGAGACTCAATTCGTCTCAAACCAGATGAACTCATCCTACGTTGGACTTCAAGACTCAATGAGTCCAATATTATAACTTTTACGAGGTGCATCAACTCTTCACATCCTTCATCAGTGTTGTCCACATCATCTTCTGGATTGCCCACTGCATCACTCTTTTCTGTCTGCTCCATATCTTGATCATTGTCTAATATCACACATGAAGGCTCAATAATGTTCTCTTCGTCATTTGCACTACTTGGTGAATGAACCTGAAAATTTTTGTTGGTGTCTCCACTGGCTACTGAATTGTCAACAGACTCTTCAAAGTTCTCAGGCTGTTGATCAAGGAGCTTCCACTGACCTTCTTCTGGATAATAGTCAAGCAAGAGAGCAGTTGTTGTATCTAAGTCCAATTGTGTGGCAGTCCGCTCATCTGAAAGATCTTCTTGGAAGTACACACCATAAGAAGAATTCTTAACCAGATTTGCATGCCTCTCAGACATCTTAGGTAGATACTCAAGATCATTACCAACCACGGGTTTATTTCCGATCAAATGTTTTTCATTCAGCAACACTGTGGTTGTATCATGCTTAGTGCCCTTTCTACTCTCATGTAGATCAGATACAGGATCACCTGATCCATGAGAGAACATAATGTCTTTGGTTACTCTCTCATCAGGTGTGTGCACCTCAGATAGAGAACTGATGTTCTCATCCTTGAGCTTCTTTTCATAAGTGACTTCATCGTCTTCCTTGTTTCCTTCTTCCAGCTGAGAAAGCATATTCTCTAGCACGCCAAAAACACTATTAATTGCTACTTGAGTTGAATCATCAATACCTGTTAGCGCATCAAATGCTTGAGAAACACTGAATGTAGGCTGACTCGGCTCCTGCACTGCTGGCTTAGTTTGATCAGGTACAGGTTGCAAATTTTTTGTTTCTTTCTTCTGATTATCATTTTCTTCGTTCTCTACAGGCTGCAAGTCAGAAGGAGGTCCAGGAGGTGGTCCAACATCTTCTTCACTAATAGATGCTACTTTGTTTTGGCCAGAAGCAAACTCCACAGCTTTCTCTTCGTTATTGTTGGCAATATCCTCCTTCCTTTGTTGCTGAGCTATTACAGCATCTTGGTTCACTTTGTTCACATTTACATCCTCTGTTTCGCTTGGTTTTTCCTGGCTAGAACTACCAGCCTTTACCCCAGGCCCAGAAACCTTCTCACCAACATCAGCTGCGGTGACTTTTTCTTTGGTAAGTGACTCATCATTTTCATGATTAGACCCTGATCCATCATTAACATTCTTATACGGAGCCAAACTATCATCTTGATTGCTGTTGACTGGTTGCGACTGGCCAGAATCAACATATTTCTGGGAAGCCTCGTAAGGGTTATCCTCTATTCCTGCTCCACCAGTAGAGCTTTCCGAGCCATCAGGAATGTTCTTAGAGCCATTCACTAATTCATCAGTCTTCTTCGTATGATCAGGAGAATGAGAATCCTGTTGATCTACAGCACTTGATGGCCCTTTTCTTGGTTCCTGTATTTTTGGCTTAAATCCTGGCGTCATATTAGGAAGCTTAAGCTTGTCAAACTTCACCTTTGTGCCTTGTGAATTTAAGATGGCAGTGACAGATGTTGTTAGTTTTCCCCGGACATCTTCCGGCACGGCATCTTGCAAAGCTTTCATAATTGTCTCTCCTTGACCAACAGCATCCAGGACCTAAACATTTTACTGAATAATTGTCAAGCATTTGTTAATTCAGCAGTCACATTAAAACTTGAAATTAATATTTTATTTTTTTAACAGTATGAGCATTACCCTCTTCTTTTCTTCAGCTTTGAGGGTATCAGGCATGGTTACATCTAGCATGTTCATAACCACTTGTGCAGTCTGTAAAATCTGGCCTCTGTCACTCTCCTCTTCACCAGACTTGTCATCTTTGTCTAATTCAACTTCAACAGGACCACTTGCTGCGACTCCAGAATTTTCTGGTTCATGAAATCTGTTATTACTTTTGTCATTCTGCTCTAAGTCTCTTCCAGACTGCAGGATAAAGTTGGAAACGGTGGTACTATCTCTGAGTGTCTCCATTTTAGGATCTACTCGATAACCATTTATTGTTTTTCTTCGGGGAATCTCCAAGACCTTATTAGCATTGACACCTTTTTCATATGCTCTAGTTTCCAAAAGTGCTAAGCCTTTTGAAGGATTAACAGTAACATCTATGTCTTTCAAAAGTGGGTGACGGCCCTTCAGAAGTCCAAGTTCTACCGCAGCCAACCACTGCATTCAAAACTTGGAGATATCACTTCTCGGACCAAATAAGAATGCAAAAACCAGCTAAGGATTTAAAACTTCAAAATTTACCACAAACACTGAAAGAAACAATTAACAGTATGCGATGTGATGCTTTTAAAAGGAATTATTAAGGTCCTTTACACATATATGAACCATCCATTACTCACAGCAAGTTGGACTGATGAGCCTCTGGGTTTTAGAATCTTAAGAAGGTGGATTAGCAAGTCCCTGGGTAATCTAAGCTAAAACTCAAATAACACAAGAAAACATTTTTTTAAGGACAAGCAATATGTACATCCAGCAACCTGGTGATTTCTCAAATTCAATCATGTGAACCTATATCTAAACCAATGATTAAACATAATCTTGCAACCATCCCATCTATTTAGAAGTATTTTCCTATTAAAGACGTATTGAGCAGTATCAGCAAGGCCAGGAGAGCATCTGTCAAGTGTAGTCTCACAGCAATGGTGATCATATCCAGAATAAGGAACTTGAATCAGAGATAGAGAGAGAGAATAGATGATTGCCTCAATAGCAAGATGATGACACCATGATACAGCTGCAGCACCCCCAATAACAACACTTGAGGGCGAAAGAGAGCACAGAAGCAAGCTTGTAAATGGATTTTCCGCTATCGCACCACGTGGTATAGAAAACAGGGGCACTGCATCATCATTCTGACAAATATAAGCAACTTAGTCAGACAAAACATTTCAAACACCATTTTATTTTTCTAAAGGAGGATGCTGGAAAACAGAAACATGTTTAGTCTGTACAGAACCTATTAGTCAAACCAGGACCTGATGTAAGTTTACACATGTGACTTAGAATGTGAACAAAGCGAAAATCATTTTGTTCAGATGTAGAGCTTCTACTGGACATGTTTATCTGGTTCTGGTTGGTAAAAACTAGAGGGTCAAAATCTGATCATTTACCGATGCAAATATCACCAAAGGCAAGTTCGTGATGGCACTCAGCTAATTCAGTTAACATCGCTCTCAGTCCAACTCATGAATCATGATTCATGGTGGATAAAGATCAGCCTTAAAGCCATACAACACGACTGAAATTTGATAAAGCATAATGACCCCTTTTCTACAAGCTACGCAGATTCCTCGATCGAATTTCTACCAAATAAATGCAGTCCTTACCACACTGGTACGAGAAGACTTAGAAGACTTCTGGATTAAAAGTAAGGTTCCAAAGATAAGAGTAACCTTGAACAAACTCCAGTGACAAAATATGCACCTGTATAAAGAGTACAGGAATCTTCACTTCCCCAATCACGCTTCTGGTGCTGCATTTGGAATAGAACTCTTCTACACTATCAAAGCCGTAAGTCACCATGGATATTGCTTTTTCAAAGTCGCGAATGGATTTTGAAGTCAAAGCTTTTCCAACATCGAAACCCTTTGCTCTGCCTTGGAAAAGCTCCTGGTAGAAATCCATTTACTTTGTGAAATTAATAAAACGAGGGAAAGAATTTTCATGCAAGGAAAAAATACAGGAATATGAAATGAGCAAATTTTCATGCATGGAAAATAATGGAGGAATGAGACAATCTATATGGGGCAGGCCTTTCGCAAGCAACAGCCAACCTTGTTTGAACGCAGAATCTCCACTAGTCCATGAGTAAGGTGTCTATCCAAGGTACTGTGATAGGGAGATGTCCGTGTAATCTCTTCTAAGTCAAAGGGATTATCAATGCACACAGCAGCAGTAAGAGGTGTTCTTTCCCCAACTTCGGCCAGGTACTTTGTCAACATATTTGCACCAAATCCCCAGCCGACGCCCATTAGTGTCGTCCAAGGCCTTGCCTTGGTTATGAATTGTACGGCTGTGGAGATATCATCACTGTCAGCTGCTGTGAATAACCTATGAAAATCAAACAGTAAAAAAGCCTTACTATCAATATAGTTTCTGACAAGATGTGCTACTAAAAGAATTATAATAAATGGAGCCATGACAAAGTTAGCTTCATCACAGAAAGGTAATGAACTTGGAAGAAACCGGGTTTCATGCCTCGGTCGCACATTCCTGTCCCTAGCATCCTATTCATAAGCATCCATGCTAATCACATAACCAGTGACAAAAGAATGATGAACGTAAGTGAAATCACAAACTTTCCAAAATGCGACGGACATATGTCTTGATTCTTCCAAGTAAACAACTTTGTTGATCTACAATGGAAAAGGATATATGCGAAGAGCAAAGTATAAAAAAACAGGATCTATCTACGATCTAATTCACGGAAGCATACTGAACACAATCCAACACTATCCATTTCAAAGGTCCTAAGAAATGTGACCAAGGAGATGACACTACGCCTATGAGTCAAATCGCAATATGCAAATAGTCACCAAGAACGACACGCTCAGAGAAGGTCTAGCTCACCGAGCCGTAGTAAGAGGCGAACCAGCGCAACCCCTAGGGTTCATCACCACAGGAAACACGCCTCTCCTGAGAGCCTCGCGTACAAATGATCGAATGCCCTCATCCATGCTCCCTTCGGGCGTTCCCGGGACCAGAATCACGGTTGGGTCAAGCCCACGCTCCTCCCCGAGGTCCAAAGTCGCCGGCCAATCCAGCGAAACAACGCCTCCGTCCTCCGTGTTGATGCAAAACCTTTGATACTCTAACGCCGTCTCCTCCGCAGCACCGGTGTTCCCCTCCGCCGCCGGAATCTTCCCTGTATCCAACCTCACGAAGTGCCTCTCCTCCTTCACGAGCCTATCGTCCAATCCCCCGAGAAGCTCGGAATCTCCGGCGCCAACATCGAACGAGAGCAAAGAGCACCGGAGAAGAACAAACTGGTTGAACGGCGTGGGGCTCGTGAAAAGCACCCACTCCCCGACAACATCGTCCTCTCTCCTCTTGTCACCACCGCTCCCCATAGATTCCCCAAAGAACCGAGAAGACAGATACGCCGCCAGACCGGAAGCGACGCCGGCAACGGTTGGAGCAATGGAATCGAGAGAAACGCTCCCATCGAACGGAGAAGGAAGAAATGAGAAATTCACCAGAGCCAAGCTCCGTCTCCGATGCTTGAAAAGAACCCGTTTCTTGTACAGTACTCGGAGATCGCCGGAGCTCCGGAAGAGCGGGAATGGA